CGGCGCTATCTGCCACTTCGCACCGAATCTCTTCCGCGCGATCGGCCGTCGTCGGCGCAACCGCACGGTATGTGAGGCGTTGCTCAATCACTAGTGGGCGCGGGACATTACCGGCGCGCCAACGGCCCAGGTTCTCTGTGAATACGTTTCACTATGGAAGAAGCTCGAAGTAATCCAACTGTCGCCATTGGACTCCGATCGTTTCATCTGGAAATGGTTGGAAAACGGAGCTTACACCGCGTCGTCGGCGTACAGGGCATATTTCACTGGAATGACTGCCTTGGTTGGTGCCAAGCATGTTCCGCCCAAGGTCAAATTCTTCTTTTGGCTCGCTCTCCATGGCCGCCTGTGGACAGCGGAGCGCCGCATGCGCCATGGACACCTCTTAGCACCACCGTTGAAGCCGGTGATTTGTGTAAGTGTTCCTCCGGTCCGCTAACTATGGCACCTCGCCGTGGGTAGCACTGGCTGTACTTTGTTCCCACTCCTCTTTAATGAAGCACGTGCCATTGCACGCTTTGGAAAAAAAATTGCACAACCGAGTAGTATGGATTTTGGATTCTATGTGAGGACCGGATAAAAACTTATTTGCCGAGATGTAAACTAATGACGCGAACTCTTCGCACCTCTTGCACGGGTCAATCGATCTGAGTCGTTGTCCCTGCTCGGCTGCTCCTTTGGCTGCATTCAAAAGTGAGGAAATGGAGGCAAAATTACTTGATTCCTCTGCGTTTTGGTGTTTATGGTTGACAATGACATGCCTATAGATATCCAGTTCAACCGTGCCCGTCGAAATTGTAGTTAATTGCTCGTTCTTTTTTTTACTATTGATGTAGCCTTGTAGGTAGTTTCCATTAAATTTCGATATTGCCTGATTCAAATTATGTTGTACAAATGGAACGAAACAATTTTGTTTCTAATGATCAGCTCATTTCTGATATTGACTTGGATGGCCGGTCTAAAGAGTACATTATGTTGTACAGATGGAACCAAACAATTTTGTTTCTAATGATCAGCTCATTTCTGATATTGACTTGGATGGCCAATCTAAAGAGTACAGTCAATAGCAATACACATTTTTTTTTCACATCTTTTGGACAGTGTTCATGTTGCTTGTTGCTTCTTTCAGTTTCCTCTACTGAAGAAGACAAATACACATGCCGGTCGAAAGCAATACATGTTTGTTCACTTCTCTTGGACAATTCTCATGTTGTTTCTGCTAGCGTTATGCGGTGAAGTAATACTCTTCTTGCAAGAAATCTGTCTCCTAACTATAAGGGACATGCGTGTTGCTTCTGAAGCACTGATGATACTAACGCTACATTGCATCTCCTGAGTCCTGACCTTACCTTCTGAACTTCCATTTCAAGGTATGTACACTTCTCTTGACATGCTACACATTTAGTTGTCTTCGGATAGTTAGTTTTTGTAATGTTGTTAATACACAGGATCCAGTCTGGGCGAGCAAGTATGGCCAGAGCAGATGTAATGCAACTAAATGGGTTGCAAACGAACATGACACACGAATGGGATACTTTCATGTCCTGGTTGCGCAGCGAGAGAGGGGCCATGACCCAAGCTGAAGTTCTTGTGCCTCTTTCAATAATACTTTTCGCCATTCAGATTATATTTGGCTGGTGGAGACGCTGTTGCCACAGTTCATTCATCAAATACCTGCTCTGGCTTGCTTACACTACGACACCCTCTGTGGTGATCTACACTCTTGGTCTTATGCAGTTGTCTTCAGTTAATGGTGAATTGTTTCATATTTGGTCTGTTGCGTTACTCATGGCCCTTGGTGGTACAAATAGTATGACGGCCTATGTCATAGAAGACAACGAGCAGTACTGGAGGCATTTTGTTCAGCAACTTTTGTATGTGATTAACTTCTTTGCCATGCTTAAGGTCCATTTAAAACTCGAGACATTCCTGGATTTAGTTTATAGTTTCTTACTAGTGTTTACTCTATCTCTGAATGTTGGAAGGATTTATGCGAGTAAGACAGCAAGTAGTTTCTCAGACGATCGAAGCCTGTATCTTGCAGAGTATATGAAGCATGAGCACAAAAAGACTACCAATTATGAACCTGACACACTAAAAGGCTACAACTACCTTGTATCTTGGAGAAGTGTATCAAGTGACGGATTAAGAAGGTTTCCATTGGTAGGTGATAAGATAACTGTCAGCGACATCTGGCTTGATAGAGGGATCAATGTACAATTGAAGGAGCTTTCCCTGTCCTTCGCCTTATTTCAGCTGTTAAGGAGGCGTTTCTTTGGGGTTTCTTGTCCTGAATCCAAGCTTCAGAAAACTCATGACCTTATTTTTCATGGACTGTTGTTGAATGTAGAACAGAATTACAGAACTACATTCCGGGTGATTGAGGCAGAATTGGTTTTTGCTCATGATCACATGTTTACCAGCTCTGCTTCCTTCAACACTAGATTGGGTAAACCTATCATAATCCAAAGTATCATTAAATCAGTCTTTTATTGTTATGCAATACTATGGTCAATTTTAAAGCACAAAAATGTTAGTAAAGTATTCATGGGGCTACTTCTGGCACTAGAGCTACTACAACTGTATGTTTATTTGTCATCCGATTGGGCTAAGCTACGATCTATTTGTCGGCTTGAGTGTTCTTTAGACGGCACTTGTGACATTGGTTGCCTATTCTGGGATAGGCTTCCGCAGTTATTTGGACGGTGGCAAAACAAGATTGGTCAGCTCTCATTACTCAAGGATTTACACCGCCGATCATTTACACATGACATGCTAGGAACTGTGTCTTGGTGTATCTCCGCAAAGATTCTTCAGTGCCAGGAAACATCCTTCTCGAGAGGTATCAGTAACCCAGGTATTAAGGGGCCAGACCGCATTAGGTTGTCTGACAATGTGAAGTTGGCAGTTGCTCAAACTCTGAAACGCAATGCTGGTCAGCTGTCTAATGGAGCATCATCTTTGAGGCGCAATGGTCATGATAGGCTTATATGGGCATGCAGACAGGAAAACCATGCCAACTCCATGTTAATTTGGCACATTGCAACAGAGTATTGTGAGATCATACATGTGCATCAGTCAGTCACAGCGGAACAGACAAGTATAAGTGATGATGACCTTAACATCGCTAGATCACTGTCAAGATACTGTGCATACTTACTGGCATTTGTCCCAGAACTGCTTCCTGACCATCACTTGGACACTACCGCGTGCTTTCATGGAGTAAGGAAGGATGCCCTAGAGTTCCTACGGGAAGAGAGATCACTTGAAAGCAAGTATAGAAAGATGAAAAATTTCAACCAGCTATTACCTCGACATCAGGGAACTTTTGTGAAGGGGATACTGCTTGGGAAGCAGCTGGAAGAAATAGGTCCTGCCAGGTGCTGGAAGGTACTGGTAGATCTCTGGACCGAGATGATACTGTACATTGCTCCATCAGACAATGCAAGAGATCATATGCGGCATCTGGCAAATGGTGGGGAGTTTCTTACTCATTTGTGGGCCTTGCTTTCGCATGCTGGGATTTTAACCAGGGAGGAACAGAGTTTGGATGAAGAAAATACAGTTGTCCATCCTTGAGGATGAAAAATCCATGAGCAACAAGCACCAGGACGTATGCGATATGTGTAATGTAAGACTAGCTTGCTTATTGCCATTTTGTACTTTTTTGAAAGTTGTATCTATACTAGGTCTGTTCCCGTGCATTGCCATGCCACGGAAGCTGAAAAATTCTCAATGCAATAAAGTTTACAACTATATTAAATCTCATTGCTGGCCGGATAAATAAATCCACTAAGGTCTGCATGCCCATATTACCTCACAGGAGGTAATAGACGGATAATTGTTATTAGTTAGTTCATAACTTTTTATATTAATAGACATTAGGATAAATAGGAAACAATCAAATAACTAGATCTAGCTACCCCACACGTGACAGCTAACATGTAAAATGGTACATATACATTTTTCATGCATCATTACTAAAATGTTTTATTTTATGCGCATTTTATTTTTTCAAGACATGGTTATAATACTAGTGAAGGACGGGCGGGTGCAAGCGGTAGAGTATTACCGCCTATGACCGGAAGATCCTGGGTTCGAGTCGCGGTCTCGCATTGCACAGGCGAAGGTAAGGCTTGCCACTGACATTTTCTCCTCAGACCCCGCACAGAGCGGGAGCTCTCTGTATTGGGTACGTCCTTTTATGGTTATAATACCAGTGCTACCTAGGGTGCGACGGTCCGCGCGCAGCTCCCCCACCGCCGCCAGGTTCCGCGCCACCACGAACGCCACGGCCCAGAACGCAGCTTCCGCACCGTCACCGTGCCACCGGGAGGTGACTCGAGCGTGCGCACGCAGCTCTCGCAGCGCTCAAGCCAGTCGGAAAACAAACCTGGATTCCGTTTTCTGAGAGCCAGTGGCGAACCTAACTTGTTGGTGGATCCAGCAAATCAAACACAACATATTGCAGCCCACGGGCTCGGCCAAACCGACGGCCAGCAATCAAACACGGCCTATGTATCCGATACGGGATAGGGGCGACTGTGCGAGTGCCTTGCGACCGCTCGGCTCACCAGTCAATAATATCGCCTATCCGGAACCGAACACGAAACGCCCAAACTAAGGCTATGTTTAGTTCGCGAAATGAAAATTTTTAGATATTATATCGGATGTTTCGGGGATGTTGGAAGGAGTTTTCGGATACTAATAAAAAAAACTAATTATATAACTCGTCTGGAAACTGCGAGACAAATTTATTAAGCCTAATTAATCCATCATTAGCGCATGTTAGTTAATGTAGCACTTATGACTAATCATGGACTAATTAGTTTTAAAAAATTCGTCTCGCGATTTCCAACCAAACTGTGCAATTAGTTTTTTTTCGTCTATATTTAATACTCCATGCATGTGCCGCAAGATTCTATGTGATAGTTTGGGGTGAAAATTTTTAGGAACTAAACCAGGCCTAATCCGCAGCCACCGCTCCGCAGTTGGGAACCATGGCGGTTACGCCGCTCCGCACGGCGGAGGCGGCAGAGGGCCACGACGGCGTAGACCTGGACCCCATCTGGAGAGCTCTGAAAGGCGTCAGCAGCGTTCTCGGTCACGTGTCCTGCGCGCTCGCCCCTGCGGCAGGCTCTTTTGGCACCGCTGGCAGCTGCCGTCGCGGTGCGTCCGGCAATTTCGGTGGGATAGCCGAGATTGTGGACGGCGGCGTTGGCGGCCCTGCGGGTATCTGCCCCGCCGGCCGTACTCTCGACCGAACCGGCAGCGTTTTGGTCCGTGTCGGCGACGGCCGTCCTGTCATATCTGTATCTCGCAACTGGCCACATGTTACTTCAAGTGATTGTTAGTTGTTCGTTTTGATACTCCCTCCGTAAAAAAAAAGGAAATCTCGTTTTTCAAGCTAAGATTAGTGTAGGTTTAAAATTACGCATTTGCTCCTCCTCTATCCGTTCTTGTCTTCTGGAATGGTGGGGATATTTTTAATTGGTGGGTCCCATAAAAAATGTGATCTCTAACTCTACAATTACATATTATTTTTTTGAGACAAGACTTAGAACGTTAGAATGACATGTTTTTTTGAGACCGAGGGGGCAGATCTGAACAGACGATCTTATCCTCTCAAAGTAGCAATAGGGGGAAGTCAAATGATACTGTATTTGCATGAATTTTTGCTGGTTTCATTTGGGGGCCCCTCATGGCCTTAATGCTGCGACCTTTGGTCAGGATTTTTGGTGTTTTTGACTGAATAAAGGGTGGTTATTTCAAACCTTTTTTTTATTAAATTTGTTTTTCAAGATGGTTTCAGGAATCAGAACATGCTACCTTATCCTGAAACAGTCGAGATATCTGCTAAAGTTGGCTCACTGTATTGTATTGGTCTAATTTTGTGCTGACCTTGGGGAACCCTCTTCTTAAAGCTGTAATCTTTGGTTAGCATTTTGGTTTTTCTAAAAAATAAAGGAAGCATCTGTCGACTTCAATAGTGAATTTCTTTACCAAAAGGGATTCACTCGTGCTCTCTTGTGACCTGATAGGCTTGCAGAGGATACGGATCCAAGTCCACTTGCTCTATTTTCATCCAGAAGGAACGCATAAGAGAATTATTATATATAAGAGCCTGTTTGGAACGCAGGAATTTCACATGAATCAGTTCAATTTTACAGGAAAAACACAGGAATGGGAAAAAAATCCCGCATTCCAAACAGGCCCAAAATGTGCAGTTATGTTTTATATAAAAAAAATGGTAGGACTTCTGATAACGAATGTACTTCTAAAAAAATAAACCTTTTTCTATAACAATAATTGGTCAAAATATAACAATTCGAGTACATATGCCATAAACAACACTTGTTTATCAGTGGAGAAAATAATCACTTCAAGGTCACTCATAAGTTGTCATGTGTCCTAAGGCGTAGGGCAAGAGATTTTTTGCTATGGCATTTTGAGAGTTTTGACATACTTTGATATAGTTTGAGGGTGTTTGGTTCTTTAGTCGCTCCTAAAATTCATGTCATATCGAATATTTAGATACTAATAAAGAGCATTAAATATAGATTAATTATAAAACTAATTACATAGATGGAGGTTAATTTGTGATACGATTTTTAAGCCTAATTAATCTATCATTAGCACATGTTTACTGTAGCACCACGTTGTCAAATCATGGACTAATTAGGCTTAAAAGATTCGTCTCGCAAATTAGTCGCAAGTTGTGTAATTAGTTTCGTAATTAATCTATATTTAATACTCCATGCATGTGTCTAAACATTCGATGTGACAGGAATTTTAGGAGCCTATATAGAAACCAAACAGGGCCTTTTTCTCATGACATTTTAATTTCCATTGTCTATCAGGATTTTACTACCCATAAGAGAATTTTATTTTAACTAAATAAGGGCGCAGTGGTGTTTCTTCTATGAGAAAAACCGGAAGGACTTCTGATAGCGAATCTACTTCTAAAAACTTTTTCTATAATAGTGGTCAAATTTTAAGAACTTCAGTACATATGCCATTAACATCAGTTGTTTATTAGTGGATAAAATATTCACTTCCAAGTCAGTCATAAGTTTGTCATGAGTCCTAAGGTGATGTAGGGCAAGAGATTTTTCAGGGTTCAACTAAGGAGTTACTATGGCATTTTCAGATTGTTGACATACTTTGTCATAGTTCATCTCATGGCATTTTTAGGCCGTGTTCGCTTGTCTTATAATTTGTACTTTTCAGCTTGTTTTTTTAGCCGGAACAATGTTTTTCTCTCACAACAAATCAGCCGGAACAATGTTTTAGCTTGTTTTTTCAGCGAAGCGAACGGGGCCAAAGAATTTCACCACAATTGGACCAAAGAAGTTGCAGCTATAAATTATTCCAATTAATTATAGAAAAATATAGATCTAAAGCTACAACAAAAATTTTGTACTAAAACATACCATATTATATATTCACTGTATAGATCTACTCATGTGGAGTCCAACAAAATTAGATTTTCCATTTTGTGATTTTTTCTGTGATTTACTATGATTTTTTAAAGATTCAGTGAAAATAAATAAAAAAAATAAAATAAAACCACTGTCACCGTAGCAAACCACCGTCCAAAACCGCTTGGGGGTTATTTGACCGGTTTTAAATTGTTCAGGGGTAGAAAATCTAGTTTTATAGTTTAGGAGTAAAGTAGTCCATCCAGAATAGTTAGGGATTATGTAGACTTATTCCAAAAGAAATACCATGTTAGAACACCATAGACATGCTCATACAGGTCTTGGCCAGCAATAGCACTGGTAGACGTCCTTGTGCTGAACAAGAGTCCAAGACGCACAGCTAGAGAGCTCCAGCATGTGCGAGTGCAGCCTTGTTCATAGCTCGGCACTTGGCTTATAAGTCGTACTTTTTTAGTCAACGAATAGTATTTTTCTCTTACAACAAATCAGTCAATAGTACTTTTAGTCATAATTTATCAGCCAAGCGAACGGGGCGTGCTCTGCTCCTACCCAAGTGCGTGTGCTCCATCTCAGCTCCAATCCAGCCTCTGCTCCCCAGACTGCCTGGCAGGTACACCATGCAGTCGCTGCTTATATCACGACCACCAACTCCGAAACGGTGGCACCAGATGAACAGGCACAGCAAGGAAACTCCAACGCCAACATGGAAGAAGCCGATGCCACCACCGTCATCCCGGCCAACAATCCACAGCTGGAACATCATAGCAATCTGAACTGCTCAAGGCAAGGTATTCCTTCTACTATTGCAGGAACTGATGCAGTTGACACCATCACACAGCAGGAATACATGAACCAGCAGTCACTGCACAACACAATGCAAGTCGCACGTTCAGGTATGAATGACTTCATTGCAGGAATTGGATCCTCAACAACACAGGCGTACAGGCAAATCTCAAGTTCCATACATAGATTCAATGTGTCGCTTCCAGCATTGCTACAAGGATCTCGATGCTTCACAGATGCTTCGACTATGCGATTGGGTACTCTTTCTCAGTGAATTCCTGCTGTTTTGATACTCCTGCTATGTTTGACGGTTACTAAGTAGCTACTTTTCATTTTAATCAGTCGAAATAAAAGTAAAGCAAAACAGAGTTATGGGAAGGACTGGTACACTGGTTGGAGCTGCATGAAGACACTGCTATCTAATCGACTTGTCACCAAGTGGAGTAACCCAGCAAAGTAATACACGCCATTCTCATTTTCCATTTGTGTGGGTCCTATACACTCATTCCACAGTTATTAAATTTTTTTGGCTAGTAATGCTTGACTACAAAAGGTTACACATAAATCCTCATGATATAAGTAAATGTAGAGAAACAAACCCCACAGCTTGTTATAAGTACAAATTTCATAGGTATATCTTTTTGGCTCTGCAATTTGCTGCTGCATTACACAGCATCATGGCATCAGCTAGCATTACACACTGTTAAAACGATCTTTCAAGAATTCACCAGATTTGATCCCAAGGGCTAGAGACATTATTTTTTTAAGGTAACGGCAGGAGCTCTGTCTTTCAATTAAGAAGGGTAAAAAGTTTATGTACAGTGCAAGAGCGGCATTGCCCCCATTAGGATTACACGATGCCACCCGCGATATTGCCCCCTCCCCAAGCTAAAGCCCTCTTTCTTTGCTCGATATCCTCTTTTACCCTTAATGCCACTTGCATTGCCGACTCGTGGGCGTTGTTAAAAATTCTCCTGTTTCTTTCCTTCCATATGTTCCATAGTGTGTAGATGACCATCCCGTTGAAGCGCTGTTTTTCTTGTTTCGCTATCTTGGCTGCGGCCTCTTCCCACCAAAACTTCAGGTGAGTTGGGTCTTGATTGGGGTGGATCAACTATACATCGAAATGCTCCCATGAAAGGACTTGGCTCCACACTGCCTTGGCGAAAGGGCAAAGGAGTGATAGGTCAAGGCATGTTTCCAAAGGTTTGTAACACCCTCAGTGTTACACAAAAAATCTTTTACTAAAACATGTCATGAGTATCATGGTTATATGATAATGCATGTGATATAGTGTGTAGATCAAGTTCCGTAACTCGAAACGATCAACTGAAACACGAAACGAAAGTTACATTTCATAGTCAAGTTATATCACTTAGAGTTTTAAATCAATTTTATTAAGCAAAAATGCTATAGAACGCATATACGAAACTTTAATAAAGTTTGTAGTAGAAACCTTGTAGATGACGATGAAATACCTACGGTCGAGAAAGAAATTCACTAGCTAGCATAATTAATAGCTTGGAAATCGAATTTGATGCGAAACCGATCTGAACTTAGTCAAATTTCTTAAGTCGGAAAAGGGTTTGACAAGGCCAAGTTTGGCAATTTTTGTAGAAGAATCGGGTGAAGTAGTGGTGGGGTATTAGGGCTTGTTTCAGTAGCCTAACATGCCCTCTCGAGTATGAAATAGGTGGTTTAGCAATTGAATCACCGAATTGGATTTTTGGGACGCTTTAAAAAGCGTGCATGGCACGTTTCTGGCCGATTTCAGCAACTGGGCGCGGTCACCGTGCCTCGGCACCCGGCATCGCAGCGCCGGCGCGCCCAACGCGCGCACACCGCCGCACAGGCCCCGCATCGCCGTTGCCGCGCCCAGGCATGTGTTGCACGAGCACGCACACTCCCGCGCCGCACCTGGCGGGTCCGCTGCAGTCTGGCCGCCTGCCTTGCCGGGTCACTGTCGCGCCATAGCGTCGCGTCGCGTCCACCTGAGCCGCTGCGCCACAACTGTCCCGTCGCCCTGCTGCGCCGCGCTGTCACCGTCGCGTCCGTCTGCGCCTCTACGTCGTTGCCGTCTCGACCTCGTGCACGTGGCCTTCCCGAGGCCACCCATTTGTCGTTTGCCA